ACCCATCCTGGGCTTGGCCGAAGGTGCCGCACCCGGGCCCTTAAGCCAACCCGCGGAACAGCCGCCGCCCCTTCCCCAAAGCGACGCGCTCCTGAGGTGCCAAGCCAAAAAAAAGAGAGAAACTACGAGAGGGGCGGAAAGAAGACCCTGAGGACAGCGCCCGCCCCTTCTCGGCAGGAATGACCAATCCTGCTCGGCCTCTTGTCCAGTGGCCCCGCCCCTTCGCCCCGCGCCACCCTCCTCCCCTTGGCGATTTGCATAAAAAAAGTGGACGGAGCGCTCGGGTCCGCATAGCGGAGCGGGGCCAAAAAAAAGAGAGAAACTACGAGAGGGGCGGAAAGAAGACCCTGAGGACAGCGCCCGCCCCTTCTCGGCAGGAATGACCAATCCTGCTCGGCCTCTTGTCCAGTGGCCCCGCCCCTTCGCCCCGCGCCACCCTCCTCCCCTTGGCGATTTGCATAAAAAAAGTGGACGGAGCGCTCGGGTCCGCATAGCGGAGCGGGCAGCGCGGCTGGGCTGGCGGAGCGGGACCGGGCAGGGGGCGCGCGTGTCTCGGGAGCTGCATGTAGCCCGCGGGAGGGTCAGGCTCTCGAGCTCGCTCTTTTTCTCGCCCGCTCTTTGGCCGCCTCCTCGCCGCCGCCCCCCTCCCTCGTTCGGCGCGCGCGCCCTCCCGCCAGAGAGCCCCGAAGCGGTAACCTCTCTGGTAAACAGAGGGAATGCAGCAGGTGTAATATATCTTGACATTGCTGAATATAAGCCAACAATGTGTTGTGGTTGCAAAAAAAGCAAAATCTTTTTTTGGCTGCATTAATAGCCTCCAAATGGTCGTACAAGCGCTCCAACTGCAAGCCCATCCCCGCCTCCTTGCTCCTGTGCCGGGGGATCGAGTACCCCAACATGAGGCTCCCCAACTTGCTGGGCCACGAGACGATGCAGGAGGTGCTGGAGCAGGCGGGCGCCTGGATCCCGCTGGTGCAGAAGCAGTGCCACCCGGACACGCGCAAGTTCCTCTGCTCCCTCTTCGCGCCCGTCTGCATCGACGACCTGGACGAGACCATCCAGCCGTGCCACTCGCTCTGCGAGCAGGTGAAGGACAGCTGCGCCCCGGTCATGTCCGCCTTCGGCTTCCCCTGGCCCGACATGCTGGACTGTAGCCGCTTCCCCCAGGACAATGACCTCTGCATCCCGCCGGCCAGCAGCGACCACATCCTCCCGACCCCCCGAGAAGGTAAGAGAGCCCCGGCGCCGGGGCTTCGCGCTGCCCTCCTATGCCCGGGCGCCGATCCCACGCTGCGCGCCAACCTGGCCTTCCAGGTAGCCCCCTCGTGAGCAGCTGGACACCCGTGAACGCCCCAGATCAGGGACTCCCAATAGAGAGTAGGGATTCCCGATTAAGCAATCAAACTTCCCAAAGCGGGGGCAGAGCTTACCTCCCAGCGGCCAATCTCGAGACAAGGCGAACTTTTTGGCAACGGAGGGGGGGAATTACGAAAACCTGCTGTGACAATCAGAGGTACTGCCTGCAAGGAATCTCCTCTTTTAATCTCAGATGACCTGCATGCAGTTCATAGGCTGGCCCCTGGTGTTCAGTGGGTCTTGTAACGGGCATGAAAGCTGCAGCTGCCCCTCGCTGCCCTCAGCAACATTTCACTGGAAGGTGATGGATCGCAAAATGTTTTTTGGTATTCTGTCCCCATGAAAATACCACTTTGGGGGAGTGAACCCCACAGAACACAGGGGGACTTCCTAATGAATAAGAACAGGCACAGGAGCGCCCTGGAAGCTATTACAGAAACTTAATGGGAAATAAGCCCTATTGATTTTGGCCTGATTACTCCAAAGTAAATGTGCCTAGGAGCTGCATCCAGACCTTCTGCCCAGTTATTCAAGCACAAATCATAGTGTGTTCAGTTGCACGCATTTCCACTTCAAACATGAACAAGGTCACATAGCCTCCCATTGCATTTGAACGCGTAGTGTCAGCATGCTTAGGGCTGAATTGCCTGGCCACCTTGACTTCTAAAGGCAAAGCTAAAAATGGCAAACCCCCACAAAGATTGGGGCAGCTCACCCCAAAATGAGGGGAGGAGGGGGTAAGGTGCTTCCCCACAACCAGCGCTGCCATTGGATTTGTTTAGTTTGGATAACTGGAGCCAGACAGAACACAGTAAGAAAGAAATTCCTACAGAACATCAGCACTCAGCAGGTATTGTTGGGTCTTTTTTCTTGGCGAACACCCTAATGATGTGGCTCAGGTCTTCAGAACAGCACAGCACCACCAAAGAATGACAGAGTGGCTCTCTTTTTCACCCCCGGGATTACGTTTCAAAGAGCGCTGATATAGTTTCCATGTATTTTGAAAAGATTTGTGGAATCCTGAGTGTTGTAAAAAAAAAAAAACCTCAAATTGAGACTTACGGTGCAGTCCCCGAATGCACTCAGTACATTTCTGCAAAGGCTATATACCCTATTGAGATTAACTGTAAAGGCCTTGGAATTCTCTCTCCGTTGAATGAGTTTCTGTTACGCTTTTAGTGTGTGGCCTTAGGACTCCTAAGCATGCTTATTCAGAAGACGTCCCATGAATATCCTAGTAATCCAAGTATAAGGGTTAGCTCTGAGGAACCTAAGTGGATCCTGACAGACAACGGTATTTGAAAGTAAGAGCTACTCACTCAGTGGAACTTGCATCAAAGTGGGCACAAAACATGCACACAACCGGCGCTGAATGTTATGGGATTTAATTTTGAAGAGGCATGCGCAGGTAGGATTGCTCTGGAAGTTACAGTAGTTGCTGAACTCTTACAAGTTGGAATTCATCTAATATTCCAGTTGTGGAGATCTTGCTTCCAGCTGCTCTAGTGCTAGAATGGGAATGCTCACTTCTAGAGGTCTTACTTTTTTTGTATAAACTGGTTAGCTTTGTTTCAACCATTGTGAAGGCATTGCTTTATTTTGTTTTTTAAAGAGATTTGAGTAAGAGCTACAGAAATGTTGGGAGGAGGTATTTCTCCTGCAGATAAGGATGGACAGTGTGGGGAGCAAGGAAGAAGCATGCTATTGAAAACCAAATAACTGCATAGGTAAACAAAAAATGTAAGGAATGCCAGATTTGTGACTTTTTAAAGAAAATAAACTGTTTTCAATTAATATTAGTTTAATAGTTGGGAAAAGAAGTTTTAATTAGGTCAGAGGGGTTGAGGAGGAGATGACCTCCCCCAGGTTTTAAATAAAGAAATGAGGGGAGGAGGGGAGGAGAGATTTCCTGAACCAAAGTTGTCAGGGAAATTTTGTGTATTGTATTGTCAGTCTCCTTTCCACCACTCCCCCTTCTCTGTACCTCCTGGGAGAGCCAGGGGGGCTGGCAGGGCAGGGCTCTAATCCCCCTTAGAGAATTCGGAGACATCTGCTTTTTCAATATCCCATTGAGAATTCTGACTGGATTTGTTATGATATATAGCATGACTCTTTTATTTCCTTAATGTTATTTCCTTTCTTTGTATTAATGCAATACATTGACCATCTCTGACTCTAAATGCACTACATCATTGCACTGTAGATTTTATGAAGGCACTGAGGGTAAAGTTAAATTACATCAGGCTGGCTCAAGAATAAGAGTGTAGGGGTTGGGGATTTTAAGCATGGAAGAAAAGCAGCCATATTCTTTGTTTCCTAACGCCACCTGCTGTTCTCTTTTGAACATCCCGACTGAAGGTTCTCTTTTAAAATGCGTCTCTTCCAGCACCCAAAGTCTGCGACGCCTGCAAAAGCAAGAATGAGGATGATAATGAAATTGTGGAGAACCTTTGCAAAAATGACTTTGGTAAGTGTAAGCAACAGGCTGCAATTCAAAATGCAAGTTTGGTAGTCTTTTCAATTGCAGTGATAATGCATTTTGCACAAAAGACCTGTAGCTGACAGGGAGGTGTTTTTTTTATTTTTTTTTTTTTATTTCCATTCCTCAAATCACATGACTTAAACTTTTTGTGTCAAGGACTGAATCAAAATTCACACAGTCTTACCATGGGTAGGATGCAGACTGCTTCTTAGTCCAACACAGCTGTAAATGTTGAAGTCGTGGTGAACTCTTGAACCATGTTCTATCTATAATTAGCGAAGTACCTGCCATTATGACTGATAGGACACAGAGTGCGCCATTCCTCAATTTCTGGCATCCTTAGTGGTCTGAAAAATGGAATGGTAGGTACATGTTACTCACAGCAGCAAGTACCCTGGATTCTTTTCACATAGGAGTGAGTAGCCTCTGTCCACATATGCGGAAAGACCTGTGGAAAGACTTGAATAAGATTTCAAAATAGATTGTTGTGCCTTGCTGCTTTGAATGTGGTTTTGGTATTGCTTTTGTTTACCAGATCTTAGAGTGGTATTTATTTGATCTTTTTTAGTATTTGTATTAGAGATGGACATGAACCACTGGTTTGACAGTTCAGCGCATTTCATTTCCTGGCCAAATAGCTGATTTGCAGTTTGGTGCCTCACTCTCTCCAGCAGACCCCGACTCAGCAACAGCGCCCCCCTCCTCCTTCAGACACTTCCTCTGAGTGGGCTCCTTCCTGATGGAGGTTAGCTGATTTGCAGTTTGGTGCCTCACTCTGTCCAGCAGACCCCCGACTCAGCAACAGTGACCCCCTCCTCCTTCGGACACTTCCTCTGAGTGGGCTCCTGATGGAGGAGGTAGGGCACCAAACCTAAGATCAGCAGTTTGGCTAGGAAACAAACCACACCAAACCATTTGTGTACTTATTGATTCTAGCTTTAAATATTGTCTTTTAACGATGTAAGCCACCTATGTATACTCCTTGTTTTTTTAGCATCAAATACTGTCTTGTAGTGATGCAAGCTGCCTTGGGTCTTTTTGAAGGAGAAAGGTGGGGCAAAAATATTTTAAATAAATAATAAATGCAAAAAGGTGGCATCAGGAATCTTTTAAACAGAGCAGCCCAAACTCACCCAATGATCCTTGAACAGACATCACTATTCTGCTCAGTCCACGGCCGAAACTGTACAGTACAGATAGCGTGTTGATAGAAGCTGGAATTCTAAAAGTGCTGAAAGGCATCTGATTGTCATTGCAAGTTCTAGTACCTTGCAAATCAGTTTGCTTTGTTTAGTCATTGGGCTCTGTTTGCAATCTGTCTGATTGTTTAGGCACAAATCTTTGTGGGATCACTAACATGGTTCTAATAGCATGCTATCTTTATTGTCCAATTTGATCCTTCGTATATATCCTTTACCCAGTCCCATGGCAGTCAATAAAGACTGGTTGAGTTGTCACCATCTTCTGCCTGCATACTATAGATTCATTGTCATAGTCATTCACTGGTTTTGAGATCTTGGTCATTTTCAAATGTGATGGAATCCAAGAATTAATTATATTTTATATACAATAAGTATAATTTGTAGGTATACTATAATAAAACCTTACGTTTTTAAAAAATAAAAAATAAATGCATTTCTACAGTAAGACATTAAATTTATGCAAGGACCTAAAGTGAACTCTTATAATTTAGAAAACTGATTCATTACGGATTCAGTGGAATTCTCCACTAGAAGTGTCCAAATCAAAATGAAGCGCTGAATTTTGTTATGACTTACACTTTATATTTTTTTTTACTGCTGATCATGTGCCATGTCAATGCTTATAAATGGATGAAGGGGGATGTATACAAAGTAAAGCCCAAGGCTGTGTTGAAGACCTTAGCTCTATTCTGTTCCTTTCTGTCCCTCTTGCATGGGGAAGGATGATGAAAGGGGCCTCCTGTCCTGCTGTGACTCTGAGAGCATTCGGTTTTATCCTTCCCCGTTCTCATCTTTTCTTGATGGAGGAGGGGGGAGCGCTGAGCACCCATCCTGCTGAGAACCAAGTAAGACAGGGATTTCTCCTGACATCCTCTGGTGGGGAGACTACTGAGAAGATACCGGAGGAGGGGGGGGCTATGGTATATTCCCTTCAGGCTTGTGTTCTGAGATGCAGAGTGATTTATGGATCTTACATTAATCCACAACAAAATCCACAAAAGTCATGGCAAAGCCTTCACATTCCAAACGCAAAGCAAAAAAAAAAATCCTTAAAGACATGTCTGTTTAAAATCCCACATTTTAGGAACTCTTGACCATCTGCTTCTGAGGAGGGAGATTGAGGATTACTTTACAGTGGTGAGACACTAGAGTTTTGTTGCAAAACACAATAATTTCTGGGTCACAAGTGAACGTGTGATGGGAAACCCTCCTCAATGTAGAACGTGAAAAAGCAATTCTCACATTATACACTAAACTCGATTAACTAGTCATAATTTTCCTCCAGCACATCCAGCATGAGATATTAAGAGAAAAAAATTCAGGGCTGGCTTCCTTAACAAGACTTGTGTGCTTTTTCTCTCCTCCTTTCCAGTTAGTGTACCAGATCAGATGCAGCTGTTATACTAATTTTCATTTTTGTTTACCCATTCTTTCATATAAAATATGTGAGCAGTGTTGAATCCTTACAAGGTTCACCAAAGAATCTTTCTAACCTCAAAAATTATGGCTGACATTTTCAGCAGCAGCTGAGAACGTATTTCTTAGGAAAAGTAGACCCTTCCCCTTCCCTGTTGCATCTTTGGCAAGAAATATATCATGTGAAGTTTACACTGTAATGCATAATTAATGTCCAAAACGGTCCCTTTCTGTGTTTGCCAGTGGCAGAAACGCTGGAGAAGTAGTCCACTTAGAAAAGATTCTCTCCAGTTTTTTTTTCCTTCAGAAAAGAAACCTACCGAAAGGTTGATTCAAACTGAAATGACTTGCATGCCCTTCATGGCTTTAGAAAAGGAGCCACCTGCTGCCTATTCTGTCAGCTCCTGACAGTTTAATTAGCAATAGAAGTCTTCCCTCCCCAGGTTCTCTTTATGTGGACTAATGGGAAAAACTTCTCTCTTTCTCTCTTGTTCTGTCAATGTGCCCCTCCTCCACCACCCCCTTATTCTTCTTAGCCTTGAAGATAAAAGTGAAGGAGATTGCCTACATCAATGGGGACACCAAGATCACTCCAGAAACAAAGAGCAAAACTATCTACAAGCTCAATGGGGTGACCGAAAGGGATCTGAAGAAGACCGTGCTTTGGCTCAAAGGTGGCCTGCAGTGTACCTGTGATGAGATGAATGATATCAATGCACCCTATTTAGTGATGGGACAGAAGCTGGCTGGGGAGCTGGTGATCACCTCCGTCAAGCGATGGCAGAAGGGCCAGCGGGCGTTCAAGAGGTTCTCACGCAGCATCCGCAAGCTGCAGTGCTAGTTCCTTGCCACTTTCCAGCAGGCCTAGTTGAAGGCCTCAAGCTCTGCCAAACCTCTTGCACCTTCCTGCTTTAGCCTTAAAAGCGCAGTCGGCATGGGAGAGGCAGGGCCGTTTGTTTCTTCTACAAAAAGAGCAGGGTGGAGAAGGAGACGAGGGAGACGTTTGCAATTCTTGTACATACAGTAAAGTTATAATTACACAAATCATGAGTATGTTTTGTGACCATATCGAAGTACCTTGCTTAGAGCTAGTTATTTGCATTGGAACAAAGTGTGACTTTGGTCTTTTTGAAAGAAATAATAGTTCATTTTGGTTTTCCTTGCTGAACTATCATTCACTAAGTCTTATAGTACTAACATTTCTTTATTGCCTTGTGCATCCGTTGGTGGAGCTTCTGGCCCACTTTGTCAGGTTTGCTTTTGATGTGAAAAGAAAGCCACCATGATACGGGGGGTGCTATGCCATGTTTGGGACTTTGAACCTATGTTCTGAAAATTGTGAATCCCAAATATGAATCCCAAGGTGAATTCCAAACACCTTGGGGTGTTATTCAAAAGAAATAATTTCTATTTATAAATATTATTCGTACAGTCTGTTAGAAATCTAAAGATGGCCACCTGAACTCCCTGATTGTAATCAAGTACAGGAGGACCCCCTTATCCAAGAGATCAGTATCCACTGATTCACTTATCCATGGTTTGAAAATATTAAAAATATTAAAAGAAAAACCCTAGAAATGTATTTCTAAAGATGAAGTTACCAGAACTGGCCACTAGAGAGAGCCAGAGATCATGTTGTTTACAGTATTTGCTATTCAAAGAGTGTTCTTCATAATCCATGTTTTTCAGAATGGGGGGGATTGAAACCGATCCCCATGGATACAGGTGGTCCTACTTTAATAACAGTGCTAGACATGATTAGGCCCTTCCATTTCAGTGGACCTGCACAGACTTATTTGGGAGTAAATGCATTGCACTTAATGGGACTTGCTTCTGTGGACGTGCGTAGAATTGTGCTACAAGGCTGCAGTAGTCTGTGGGTAGGAGGTGTTGGTGTTCAATATTGGCCCAAATTTGACCTAGCATAAAGCATGTTGTCTTCTTTTTATTCATATGAAGAAATTACCATTGCCAGAAACTACATCAATAAATATATATTAACCAATTGCACATAGTATTTTATACAAAGTTGCCAATAATAATTTTGCATTGACTGAAAACTTATTTCTGGAAGGGTTTGTGCTATTGTGATACTTCTGCCTTGCAAATTAAAATCTTTCATTAGCCTTACTGTAATTTAAGTAGTGGTTATTCTGAAAAAGTTGTAAAATATTGCTTTAACAAAACCTGTAAATATTCCAGATAAACCTTATATTGTTGTACATAAACTTTACATCACAGTTTATTTTTTTGTCTTTGGGGGTTTTTTTGGGACCAAAGATGTCTGTAAGGAAGCAATACATTTTATAGAAAATGCTCTTATCTCCATAGTATTTAGCCTTTTCTAACAATTTTACCCACAGCCTCTGTTTATGCCACTGACACTGACCTAAGGCGGCTTTAAAAGCAACTTTAAATATATTTGTCATTGGCTAAATTTATCTTTAGATATAATCTTTATCCTGCCCAATTTGGATGTACCATGCATGATTCATAGAAATGTCAAGGAGGATAATAGAGTAATGACATAAATGAGAGTTTACATAATTATCTTACTACAATGAGAGCTGATTCCAATAAAAAGTCATTTTAAAAGAACCAGAAATAAGAGTGAAATTGTACTGCTTCTACTTCATTCAGTTCATTGTAACCTGCCTTTCTGCCATTAAATCCTCCTCTGAAAACTTCCTCATTGTTAAATGTTAAATGTCAACCATTATTCAGAGGTGAACATCTAGAGCTTTCAACTAGTTTCAACCAGCTTCAAGAAAACAACAGATTACAGTGGTGCCCCGCATTGCGAGCGCCTCGGTTAATGACGAATCTGCATAGTGATGCGTTTTTTGTGATCGCAAAAGCGATCGCATTGCGATGTTCTCAATGGCTAAAAATCGCTTTGCGATGATCGGTGTTTCGCTTACCGATTTTTGCATATCAATGTTTTGGGAACAGCTGATTGGCGGTTCCAAAATGGCCGCTGAAAAAAATGGCCGCCGCAGTGTTTTCGCGCCCTTTACTCGCTTACCGAACAGTGAAAATGGTGGCCGCATGGAGGATTTCTGCATAGCGGTGAGTTTACAGCCCATAGGAATGCATTAAACGTGTTAAATGTGTTCCTATGCAGTTTTTTGCCCTGCATAGCGACGAATCTGGATAGCAACAATTTTTTGGAACCGATTATCGTCGCTATGTGAGGCACCACTGTACTTCCAGAGAATGTATGACTGGTGTCAGTATAGCACATTGGCAAAAGTTGTATCTCTGACATATGGTGTGAATATGGAAGTTCTAGGTTATTTTCCAACACAGTTGATCACTTGAGACATCAAGAATGAAGTACAAAGACAGAAGTCCTATGTCACAATCCTACCTGTGCACTGAAAAGCATGGTCCACATCCAGGGGCTGTCAGCTTCTAGGAGCAGAATGTAGATTCAGACCTCTTACAAGAAGAAAACAGTTGATACCAAGAAGCAGATCCCTTGCCCTGCACATCTTCATCTGAGCTACTCAGCTTGGACAAATTTATTCCCATCAACCATTTGTGTGCACATCTATTCCAATAAAATGGGAGTAACTTCACACTCTGATGAAAACTATGGGTAAAATCCAATGTTCTGCTGGGGCACACCATGGAATGCCACCCTCCCAACTATCTAAAAAGTTGACTCCTGATGGTGTTTTTTTGCTGTTCAGATTAGGTTGGGTTTTTTTTTAAGTGAGAAAGAGAGAATGCCCTCTCTTGATTCACCTGGATCTTTCTGTACCACCAGCTGGCCACCACTGCATACTTCCCCATACAGTGAAATAGTATGTATAGTTTTACTGGAACAAGGTACTTTCATTTCAATTGTCTTTCACATTCCCCCCCCCCCAAACAAAGGAATGGAAATTTAATTTTAAACAGAGAGCTCCTTCAGTACAGTGGTGCCTCGCTAGACAATAATCCGTTCCACTGAAATCGCTGTTTAGCGAAATCATTGTCTAGCGAAAAGCATTTCCCCACTAGAATGCACTGAAACCTGTTTGATGCGTTCCAATTGGGAAGAATCATCGTTGTCTAGCGAAGATCAGCCATAGGAAAGCCGCTTTGCGAACCGCCGATCAGCTGTTTAAATAGCTGTCTTGCGAAGCTTAGGTCCCGAAAACCCCCGTTTTGCGAGCGCAGAGGGACTTGTCAAAATCGTTGGCTAGCGAAAATTGGTTTGCGAAGCAGGGACCAAACATTGTCCAGCGAAATTCCCCCATAGGAATCACTGTTTTGCAAATCACTATAGCGATCGCAAAATCTCAATGTCTAGTGAAAGAACTGTCATGCAGGGTACCTGTCTAGCGAGGCACCACTGTAGTTTATTATATTTTCTATTATTCCAGCATTGTTATCAGTTTCAGTTTTGAAATGGAGCAGTACCAGGAAGTTAGCCATGTTAGCCTGTTAACAAAAACAAATACAAAAACATTGGGGCACTTTTCAGACTAACAAATCTGTTAAGGTAAACATGCTTATTAATCAAGTTTGCAGGTTTAATTACTGAAGCCCAGACATGTCTCCTGGAAAAATATTGTTGTGGGAAGAGAAATGGGTTAATTGCAGGTAAAGTGAATCTAGGTTAAAGTGACTAATATATGCCTAATATCACAGTTCCTATGGTCATTCCAGAAACCTTTGTACTTGGTCCAATTTGAATAAATCTTGCTGATAAGTCAACACTTATTTAAAAAAAAAACTGCCTATCTTGTCATCTGGAAATAATAATAACCTAATTACAATGTGATCTCTAAGCCCAGTAAAATTCAATTTCTGGGTTACCGGGACATTAGAGAGATAGTAATGATAATGATTGTCCAAGAGGGCACTACAAGGTAAATAGCTGCAATGGAGGCGAGAACAGTCACAATGGATTCTCAGCTAAGGAAATAAGCAGCTTGCATGAAACAGTCTTATGAAATTCATTGGCAGTAGACTGCAGCTTCTTTCTGGACCTTAACCTCTAACCTGAAATACTGTTAGAAGCACAGGTGGCTTGCTTTGCAATTGAGGCAGCCTTGAGAGGGGCAAAAAAAGACACCGCCCATACCACTTTTGTTTCTGGGCCTTCTCATATGAGATCATCCACCTTTAAAGTAAAAGACAGCATAACCCAGCAAACTTCATAATCATGATTTCGTAGGGAATCGGCTATATATGAGGCCCTCCCTCCTCAGGTTTTGGGGAGGTCATCAGTGCATTGTTCCATTTTTGTGGGGGTCCCATGTGATTTGGAAGCCTGAAGAATTATTCAGTTGTGCAAAGAATCTGCCTAACTCCAAGAAAACCTACTGTATCGACTGCAGAATTTATGCTCAGCACGGAGATACTGGGGGATAAGAGAAGCTGCACAACTTCAGGGGATATACTGTACATCTGGTTCCTCTGATGGAACCAAGCACATGTTCAGGAATACGGCCATCCTTTTGTTAAAGGGCAGCAATTTTCCACCAAGACATATATTTCCTTTTGTTCTTGTGTGTCATCAAACTGGAACCAACTTAAAGCAATCTTTACAGGGCTTTCAAGGTAAGTGAGATATTTAAGGTGTGGTTTTACCATTTCCACACCCCCAGTGAGCTTCCATAGCTGAGTGGGGATTTGAACCCATGCCCCCTGAGCCTTAGTCTGTCACTCCAACCACTACATCACACTGAGTATCTTCAACTTCTCTTACACAAGAGTAAATCAGCAACAAGATTCTACTCAACATACATTCAAATTCAGTAAGCAAATGATTTTTCTGATAGAATCAGAAAATTGCACTTTGAAAAGTGTTGGCACTCGCCTAGTTGCAAATGAGGAATTGGTCTGATCCACTCCAGAGTCTTTTATGCAGGGCTCCAGTACTGATTCTTTGTTGCAAGGACAGAAACCAGGAGACATCCAGATGTTATTGGAAACCAACATCTGTCCATTTCAGACAGCAAACCGTAAAGTCAGGGATTATGGGAACTGAAGTCCACCATCCAGAGGTGGGCTGCTGATTTTGTAACCTTACTTTATTTTATGATGTTTACAATATACAGTACATTTTTAAAAAACATAGGCTTTCGCAGCAATAACCCATAAATCACCTAGTGGTATAACTCAAAGGTCCTTTCCATGAAGCATTCACGCATTCCACATCTACCCAATCTTTTTTTTTTAATGGCAAGAAAGAATACATTACAGCGAAGTCCCCAAAGGTCACAAAACTTTCAGAAGTAAGTGTTCAGAATAAATAACAATCGTGTGCCATCCAATCAATTCTGATTTGTGGAAAACCCTTATTTTCAAGGTTTTCTAGGTAGGGAGTACTCAGAAGTGGTTTACTATTCCTTTCTTTTGCGGGCATCCTGGGACTGTGCAGCTTGCCCAAGACCCCACAGAGATTGGCTCTACCCGCAGGAGGCATAGAGGGGAATCAAACTCCCAACCTCTGGCTTCACTAAGCTATCCAGCCAGCAGCCAAGTACAATACAAGGTGTTTCATCAGTGGGTGCTTTCCAGGTCAAGAAGTGGCACAAATACAAGAGTTCTAAGTGAGACTGAA